TCTCTTTGTGGTCTTCATAGTCTCATTCTTCACTAGCAGATGACCCATGATGTAGCCCAGTCTGGCTTAACGCTTATTCAATAATAGAACAACTTTTTTTCTGCACTTATGAAAAGGATTTTCTGAGTTGGCAGGAGATTTTGTTTTAAAAAACTTTTCCTCCATAAGTGCCATAAGGCCTGCCTTCCAAGCTCCTGCAGGCGACAGTTTCACTAAATGTTGTGTCACGACATCAAATGGCTCCAGCAACATGTTTCCTTACTACCCACACCCAACCAGTGGTAGATTTTTGTTAGAACACCACCCCACTTCAAGGTACAAATGCCTTCTTTATATAGGAGCAGAGAGAAAAAGCCTCGAGGTTCTTCTCAGGCTGGATGAGCAAACAAATTAACATCAGACAAATTTGTAGGAGAAGAAACTGAATTACATGTGCATGGAGAATTTACGTGGCTGCAAATTCTAGAGTGAATGGAGAGACGTGGGGCTGTTACCTTTGCGCTAAGGAATCGGTGTCAAGGCCTGGGCATCAAGGAGACAGAGAGGAGGAATGAGTGAGTGGAGAGGCTGACACATACTAACAAGTACTCGGTAGGGGCATGTTTGCCCTACCATGAAGTTGGGTTTCTCTACTAGCAAGGTTGTTTCTGGAAATGACCCTAAGTCTGGGTAATTGAGGTAGTTAAGGGAGTGGCAAAAAGTTTCTCTTAGACACTCGGAGGCCCACATGGCCTCAATGAACTTAGTGCAAAGTGACCCACACGCCTTAGTGACACTTCTTGGAAAACTGCTCAGAACATCTTGGGGAGGCTCATCAGAATCTTGGGGAGGCCTGTCCTTCAGCTAGGGTAGACTCAGCTATGCTGTAGTAACAAACAGCTCTATGTCTCTCAATCACAACTCATGCCTTCCTTGCTCATAACATGGTTTGGCGCAGGTCTGGGGAGGCAGGGCTTAGGCTATGTGGGCTGCTGTAACAAAATACCACAGGCACAGGCACGTATTTCCTACTGAAGGAAAGAACAAGATCACGGTGCCAGAGGTTTGGTATGGTGGCTGGAGAGGGCCACCTTGGTTCCTGGCTGTATCCATGAAAGGTGGAAGGGCCAGGGAACTCTCTGGGTCCCTAAAAGAGCAATAAGATTCCACCCTCGTGATCTAATCACCTCCCAACGGTCCCACCTCCTACAGCCATGATCTCAGGCATTAAGATTCCAACAGGTGTCGTAGAGCAAGGGATACAGAACCTTTGGAACAAAGCAAAGGTTAAGGATCACAGACTCCTTTTGTGTTGTGACTCTGCCATCTTCAACACCAGGGAGGACTCGGACACAGGTCGTGCAGGTTAGGTCAGTCTAACCCAGAAACTTGTCACTGAGAATCTGGCATAGATGAGACACCAGCCAGACCTCAGCATGCTGCTGGGACCTAGACACAGTCACGTGGACTCCTGTGAGTTACAGAACAGATGTGGAAGCCACTTAATTAGGTTTGGGACCCAGAGGCCTGTTCTTAGTGTCTGGCGAGACGAGTGGGGTGAGGACTTCCCTGAGCAAGGAATAATATGGCATCAGAAATCTGGGTTCACGTCCTGCCTTATCTCTGATGAATTGTTTTAACCAAGAATAGTCATTTCTCTGAGCTTCTGTAAGAAAGGGTATTCTCTGTACTACATGAGGTCATATGAAGACTTAAGGGAGATGATGTTTGGGAAGATGTTTTAAAAGCCATTAGACACAAAATACTACTTATTATGACTCATCCTGCCTTGCTGAGCTCTCCCCCGCGGGGCCAACTTCCCTTCTGTTGGAGAGGCAGGGAGAATAGGTCGCTGCTGTTCCTTCCAGCTGGGTGGGGTTCTAGCTAGACGACACCCGCCCTCAGTAAGTCCTCAGAGGCCCCCCAAGTGCTGAGCCTGCCAGTCCAGAGCCTGTATTTTGTGTGTTCTCCAGATGATAGTGGAGGGACTTGGGGAAATACTTCCAGAAACACCCACAACGTCGGACCCCGTCACCCCACCTCACTGAATAGTGCCATGGGGTCTAGAATTTCTGTGGTTCACATCCACACCCCAGAATTAGGATTTCTCTGCATCATGGATTTGTCTCCAGCTTGCTGACTGCAGCTTCCACTGCTCACCCTGAGCCTCAGACCCCACCTTCTGCCTGCACCTCAACACTGACTCCGTCCTGGGCCTGAGCTGGGGGAAGAAGTCACTGAAGAGGAATGTCTCGATTTCAGCATAGTTTAACAAAATGTCTCCCAATGTCTGCAGGGAAACCAGCCTGGCATCAGGGATTTGGGGTCACTGTATCTGCCTCCAGTCAGCTGGGGCGCATTAGCTGACACTTGCCTTTCTGGGTTTACATGTGTAAATGCAGGCGAACACAGGGACTGCTCCTGTGATTCTGAGATGGGGGTGAGGGTAGAAGAGAAGCAGCAGGTGGAGCCCCGCTGGCTGAGCCTGCAGGATGCCCCAGGCTGCACTTGCCTCCACCGTTTTGCCAGCCAGCATCTCCCATCCCCGCCTCCAGTCTCCACTTGCCAGGACAGACGCCAGGTGACAACCTGCTCACAGGATCATCTCAGGCAGGAGAATCCAGGCAGCGGACCAAGACCCCACCTGCCAGATCTCTCAAATTGCAGTCTCGTCTCCTTCAGGCCACAGGTCCCCATGATGGAACCCCTTGGTTCACCTCCCGCCTGCCCCAAAGCCCCCTTGGGGCCACATTCAAGAACTTACAGGGAAGCTGACATTCAAGCACACAGGTTTTATTTCTCATATAATGTGCTCATTAATCCTTTACAGCTTAATAGCCTAAAAGTCTTCCTCACAGGGCGTTCCTGTGCCCCAGTGGTTGGGGTGGCGGGGGCTGTACCCAGGTCTCCTGCTAAATGGGAGCAGAGTGAGCTTCTCACAGGCTCGGGTGAGAAAGGAGAGATTTGTTTCTTTGTAAAACGTTCATGGAATCAGTTAAGAGTGCTGTCTGCTTTAGCTCAGAACGCAGCTCAAGGTGTCACTCTTTGGCTTTTAACCCATTGCTGGGGAGGACTTCCGTAGAGAACATGAGCGTTTAGTCTTCTGAGCAGGCCTGACAGCACAACCAAGAGGGGTCACCCCCTGTGAGGTGCCCCGTTGGTACCATGAGGCTGCAGGAAAACGGGCAGCCGCCTCTGTCCTGCTGGGCACAGGAGCAAGTTTCTCTGCTGAGGGTAAGACCCCTCACTCTCCACCATACCCAGCCTCTTTGGATTGTCCCTGGGGTCCCTCCTCTTTCTTCCAGTTCCTCATCAATGCTGCCCCCTGAATAGCAAGGTCACTTGTCCCGGCCTGCCCACACCTGTGAACGGAGAGGCTCTTCCCACCAAGGGGAGACACCGAAAGGCACCTGCCCAGCCTTCCTACAGTCCTGGAGAAATAAGCCAGCGCGGGGAGGCTGGGGCCTCCCTCCAGGGGCCAGGCCCTGGGGTCAAGTTTACTTGAGAAGGGGGCATACAGAAACAGGCCCGAAACTCTATTCACTGCTCCCAAACACTGTCTCCCAGCCCCCGGAGGCTTCCCCAGGTTCCCGGGACTACCTCGATTCTCAGCCTGGCACCCAGCTTAACTAGAGCAGTGTGGTTCAGGGGGTGCCTTCAGGACACCCCAACCCCACCCTCCCCCACTTCCTTCCCCCCTGCTGTCACATCTCTCCCTCCCTCCACCGTCCCTGGGGCTCCTTACTCCTCCTGGAGAAGGGGCTCTCGGTCGCCCCCCTGGACCCTGTCGTCCTCCTCCTTCTCCATGCAGCCCACTGTAGCAGCCAAGCCGGCGCCCACACCTCCCCCTACCACTGCGGCGCCCGTGGCCCCCACCGCAGCGCCCGCTGCCACCATCCCAGCCTCAGCCGCCAGTGCGGCGGCTGCCATGCCCGCGCCCACCACCCCGCCCGCCAGGCCCATGAGCCCCGCGCCCACGGCCCCCCCCACGGCAGCCAGGTGGCCGCAGAAGCGCATGGTGTAGGAGTCCATGAAGACCTTGGCCTCAGCCTGCAGCTCAGCCTCCAGGGCCTCCAAGGTCTGCTCGCGCCCCTGGCACAGCAATGCCTCGCCATGGCGGGCCAGGATGGCCTCTTTCTGGGTGGAAAGCAGGTTCCGCATGGTGTCGGGCAGGACCCGGAGTGCGGAGAATATGCGCTTGGTGGCCACGTCCTGGGTCAGGGAGGAGGGTGAGCACCCTGGCTGGAGCCCAGGGCCCTCCCGGCTGCCCTCTCGCCCCAGCTCACCTGCTGCTGCACATACTCCTCAAACTCCTTCTTGGCAGCTTCCACAGTCCTCAGGTCGTGCAGCTGGGCTGCCATCTGTCCACGGGAGAACCCAGGCTGCCGCCCTCCATCCTCCTGGGCCACGTGCTGCCTGTTTCTCTGTCTCCATCCCAGGGAAAATGCCGCCCCGCCTCCCTCCCAGCCCCCTGGAACCTCCCAGGGAGCTCCGTACCTCCTCCGGAGAGGTGAAACCGGGCCCGGTCCTCCCCATCCAGCCTGAGAGGTTCTGCAGGGACAGCGTGGGCAGGGGTCAAGGGGGCAGGCCTCAGCCAGGCGCTCAGGGCTCGCTGGGCCAGCTGGTTTCCCCACCTTGATCTCCTGAGCTAACTGCTGCCCTGTGAGCAGGCGTCTGTCCCCCCTGGCTGCGGGGCGCCCCTCACTCCAGTACCCCTGGCAGCGGCTCTTGGCGTACTGGGGGGCCGCACTCAGCACATCCGCGATGTAGGCATGAAGATGGCGAAAATCATCATCTGTGTCTGAGGAAGAGATTCCTCATGCTGAGGAGGCCAGGGGTTGAGCAGGACCGGGCTTTGGGAGGAGAAAGGGTGTCAGAGGTTGGGAGAAGCTGGCCGCAGCACGGGGGCTCCGGTCGCTGGGGCAAGCTGGGGTGCCTTTGCCCCTGGAGACTCACCGCCCAGGCCCCCAGGGCTCTGGCTGGCCCATCGCTGCCCGGGCGTTGGCAGGAGGTAGCAGCGGGCTCGCTTCCCTCGGAGCAGCTGCTGAACCTTGGGGTACTTGCTGGACGATTTCTGAGAGATGCATGGAGGAGAGCTCTGAGCCAGCAGACCAGCCTCCCACCTTGGCGACCTACAGCACCCCCCACCCCAGCCCCTCACCTTCTTCCCCGCCCACCCATTCCCCATCCCCGCACTCTGCGCCACTCACCTGGAGGATGTCACCCATGTGTCCCTGCCCTGCCTTGCTAGCGGGGGATGAGTCACGAACTAAGAGATCCAGGTGCTGGAAAAGAAGGGATCCTGACACCAGCAACCAGGGGTGCTGTCAGGGTGTAGGGATGACAAGTCCAGAAGCCACATCTCACCTGGATTGGCACCATCCCATAATGCCTGCCCATCACCTCGGCCACATGGACAAACATCTGGGGGCAGAGCACAGAGGGTCACAGAGGGCCACTCTGAGGGCTGTGCCTCTTCATGCCTCCCCTCTCCCCATGTAGGGACCAGCTCCAGGATCTCCTGCTGCTCCCCAAAACAGGCATCTTGTGCTTTGCATGCCTCCATCAAACCCACCGCTCAGCTCCAGGTCATGAGTCCTGGACCAGAACTGGAAGGCACCTGAATCAAGCTGGTCCAGCCCCCTGGCCTTAAGATCAGGGTGGGCAGGGGGCGGCACCCCCGAGATCAGAGTCTCCTCACCTCCAGGTATTCCAGGTCCGTGTCCTTCAGCTCCTGAGAGGTGTTAAGGATCTACACACAAGGAGAAAAACATAGTAGAAGAGTGTCTGCGGAGGCAAAGAGATGCTGGGCAGACCCCAACGTGGTGTAGGCTGCAGGCCATGTGTGGGTCTGGCTGGGAGGGTCCGGCTGGGAGCCTCCAGCCCAGGGCAGGGGTGCGGGGTGGTCCCTACAGCAGGTGGGCTGGCTGGCTTTAGGGGACAGATGGCAGCGGGCTGGGGAATGGTCCTGCACCTCCAGCTGCTCCCAGGGACCTTCCCCCCACCATTGGAACAAACCATGTCCCCACCTTCATTGACTGGGGGTAGCTCCCCTTGGCAGGGGCACCCCCAGAAACTGTGGGGGCCCCAGGCACAAAGGTCTGCGAGATAGGGTGACTGTTCTGGCGGATCCACTCACCTGGTAGGAGCTGAGCATCATGCTCAGAGCACAGAGCTTGGTCCTTGTTTCCCTGCTCAGCTCGGGGCTCATGGCGTCCCCGGTGTCCACCAGGAACACGGCCACCTTGCAGGGGTTGGAGGGCACACCAAGGGGTCAGGCCTCCTCGTGCCTCCAGCGCTTCCCCTGCCTCTCTGCCCCCCCAAAGCTTCCTTCCCCATCCCACCTCCGTGGGCTCTGTTCTCTCACCCACCCCTTCCCCACCCAGCCTTGGCCTCCTCCGCTCCTCCCCTCACCTTCCTCCCCTCCTTCCCCAGCAGGAAAGGGTGGCTCCACATCCAGATGCCCCTGGTGAGGCTGTTGGCTCCCCATCTGAACCCGGGCAGGCTCTCCCCTGGCCCTCTGGCCCAGGCACCCTCGCCGGATTCCTGCAGGCAGAAAGGGGCACCTATAAGTCGAGCCAGCCACCCCTCCCCTCCCCAAGCCAGGCTGGGCGCCCTGGCCCGCACCCACCACCCCACCTGCCTGCCTCCACCCCACCCTCACCACGCCTGGCAGGCCCCGGAGCAACTGGTTGAGGAGGAAGGTCTTCCCTGAGTGCTGTTCCCCCAGAACAGCAAGGAGGCAGACAGGGGTGTCCCTCGCCAGGGGGTGCTTGAGGCAGCGGTTGATGGCCCCCATCCTCAGGATGAGGCCTCCGGAGGCGTTGATTCGCACCAGAAGCAGAGGTTCAGCCCTCACAGCACAGGTCTCCTGGGTCAGGAGAGAGGGGTTCTCTGGGCTTCCAGACTATGGGAGCTGGAGAGCCTCAGCCCTGACCTCCACACTCACCCCGCGACCACAGCGGGGCCACAGCCACAGCCACCGCCCCTGGGACAGACCCAGCACCCTGCGGGAGGCCCCCACCTGCAGCACAGGGGGCAGCGGCCTCTGGGGCAGCAGCTTCATCTTCTCCCCCAGACTCCGGAGCCCCTTCTTCTGCTTGCAGATCTTCCGGCACTCGGGGCAGCAGGGCAGCTCGCAGCCCAGGACGCGGTGTGTGCTGAAGCACCGGGCGCAGAAGTCATGGCCACAGTCCAGGGAGATGGGCTCCCGCGGCCGCTCCAGGCAGATGGAACAGGCGGGCAGCTCCCGGGGCGCTGGGGGCCGGGACCTCAGGCCCAGCTCCAACTTGGGGAATGGCGTGTGGGAACTGGGGGACAGAGCAGGCCATTGGAGAGCACCTTACTGGGGGTGAAGGGACGCAGGTCAGGCTCAGGGACGGGTATAAGCTGCTGCTCCCAAGGAGGCCAAGCTCTGCCCACTCCTCACTGATATGCACCCCAGGACCTGCAGGCCCGAAGTGGGGCGGTGAGCAGTGATGAGAGCCTGGGGGGTGGGGGTGGCGGAGGAGAATCCTGGAAGGAACCCTGGACCAGCCACTGTGCTGTTATACAATGGGGACAAGTTCTTTCCCCCATTTCCTAAAGGTCCGGGTGGAAATGTTGGCAGTCCTGTCTCATGGGGCCACAGGGATCACCACACACTCTGCCCAGTGCTCGGCAAAATGCCAAAGACCCTTCCCCGCAGCAGGCTGCAGGGCTCCCACCGGAATTACTGACTTCTGCGGGACCCCCTAAGGAGCGGCCCCCTCTACAGCCTCCCTACAGCTGCCTAAACAGGTCCCCGGCCAGCCCTGCTTTGGGGGCCATAAGGAGAAAGCAGGAGCCTCCGGGTGGGGGGCAGATGGCCCTGGCTCTTAGCGCCCCCCTTGCTCTCCTGCTCCACGCTGGAGTCCTCCCTCCTCCTGGAATCAGCCTGGGGCTCGCTTGCTCCCGACAGCCCTCCACTGCCACAGGCCTGGGGTTTCTGGGCCAGCGGACTGACCCACTGCACCAATCCCGAGGGCGTGCCTGCCGCTTACCAACTGTTGCTGCTGCCTCCCATGAACCTCCGTTTTCTCTCCTTGGAAGAGAAGGGGGGGCAAAAAAAAGGGGCATTTAGAAGATAACCCAGACCCCCCTCTTCGTGCTGGGTTCCAGGGGCCCCTCCTGCTCCTTCCTCAGACCATCCCCCTGTCCCAGTGGCCCTGCCCCCCACCCAACCCGCCTTCCCCACATCTCAGGGCTGGAGACTTGCCTGTTTGCCAAGCCGGTGACAGAAGGAAATGACTGACAGGGCTGACCTCGGCATGAGCAGCTGGGGCGGGGGACAGGGTCCCACAGCAGAGAGGCCGGCCAGGAGACCTGCGGTGGCCGGGAGGCGGCTTTCCTGCTGGGAGCAGCGGCAGGTGGAGGTGGGGAAGGGGATGGGCTCCCCAGAGGCGCTGACCCTGTCAGAGCTGGAAAATAAATGTGACAGTCAGAAAGAGGGCTGCCTCCAGACTCACCCAGGGGGAGGAGACAGAACTGCAGAGCGGGCTCAGGAGGCGGGAGGGATGGAGCCAGGCTCAGAGTCCCTGGCAGAGGCTGGGATGCGGGCGGGCGAGCTGAGGTGGTGAGTCGCCATGGAGACGGAGGGAAAGATAAGGACAGGGAGGGGGAGGGGACTGGAGCGAGAAGCATATGGTGCTCCCGCAAAGATGGCACCGTGGGCAGGAACTGTCCCTGCTGGCCCAGTGGAGGTCCTTCCAGGGCCACCAGGCAGGCAGATGCGCCGGGAAGGGGAGAGTGAACGAGGCAGAGACCTCCCCCCTCCTTGAGAGACTACTTACTGAGCTCCTGTGGGGGGGGGGCATGGGGGATGGGAAGTGCCACCATACTGCATGGGGCATGATTACCTGGAGTTCTTGGGCCCCTCCCCACCCCGCTCCCCTCCTCCGCTCCCCCAGCTCCTCTCACTTTGGCTTCCCCTTCCAGTGACTTCACCCTGCCTGCCAGTCACCCCTGGCCCTGCTAACCGCCCCTGGACTAGGTCTCAGTGCCCGGCCAGCACAAAGTCCCCCAGCACAGCTGGGCCCACGCCTCCCACACCTTTCATGGTTCCTGAGGGCCATCATATCAAACTGCCTGGTCTGCATTGCCCTCACCTTCCTCCCCAGCCTCCCCTCGCCCCAACCCTTCTCTAGCTCCAGGATGGCCCCAGAGTTCCTTCTGCCTGCAGGAGGCCCTCCTCAGGCCCCCTGAGAGGCCCTGGAGCGCCCAGCTATAGGCAAACCCTCCTTGGAGCCTCTTACTCACTGCCGGGCTGGACAGGATCACCCCAACCCCCACCACCGTGGCTGCTGGCTGCTGGCTGCTGGCTGGCAGGCTCCACTGGGTGGCCCAGGCTCTCCCCAGCTGACCATGTGAGACAGGGCCCACATCCCCTCTCCTCTCCAAGCTGTGAGGGGTATAATCATGTCCATAAGCCGCTTGTCCAGACAGGGGTGTTTTGAAGCCCTAGGAGCCAGGTAGGGCACAGGGTAGGGGACATGTGCTGCCTCATCCTGGAGCAGTCCAGTTGACACTTTAAGCTTCTTGCGACAGGGACACCCCTGGGCTGGGACTGCATCTGCACCCTGGTCTTTTGTGCGTTGGGCCTCCATTTGTGGGACTGAAGCAAGCCGGAGAAACAGCACAGCAGACTCAAACCCCCATGGGTGGGCAGCAAAGCCCCACTCAGAGAAGGGCAGCCTGAACGGCGCCCTCTGCACTTCTCAGCCACAGAGTAGAGTTTCAAACCACGTCTCTGACTCCCTCAGAGAGAGATGCAGGTGAGACACCAAGTACTGGCCTCAGGCAGAAACACCACACCTCCTTTGTCCAGCATGACACTGGTCAGCTCCTAACTCTGGGGGCCGTTTTCTTCCCTTCTTTTATGTTTTGTTTTGTTTAAAGATTTATTTATTTATACATACAGAACTGAGTTACAGGCCACAGGTGCTGGGCGGGGGTGAGAGGATTCACCAGAGTTAGAGTAGGAAGCACAACACTCGAAGTACGCTGAGGGGAACAGCGGGTGGGTCAGGAGAGGTCTGCCGCGCCGTGTGGGTCAGCTCCCTGGCCAGGGATCAAACTCATGCTGCAGTAGCTCTGAAAGATTCATAGTGCTATGCTTTAACCTGTTGCACCACCAGGGAGGGCTCCCTTCCTTTTTTTTTTTTTTTAACTTTTGCTCATAAGAACTGGGATCCAGGCCAGAGGTAGAGGGCAGAGCATGAGGAGAGGGTTCCCCAGAGACAGAGTGGGGAGCAGTACAGTCAGATCCACTGAAGTACACTGCTGAGGGGAGCAGCAGGCAGGATAGCAGAGGCCTGCTGTGCCATGGGGGTCAGCTCCCTGGCCGGGGATAAACCTCAGCCCCATATAGGTAGTAGTGCTGAGACTTAACCCCTAGGACACCAGGGACTCCCCAGGGTCCTGTTTTCTTATCACCAGGCCAAGTTGTGGGAAAGCAGATAGAGTGTTTAGTCTTCATCAGCCATAGTCAGGGGCTTCTGGCCCTTGAGGTGTCCCTCAAGGACCTATGCTTCCAAGGTCCCCTCTTGGAGGGACATGGAGCAATCAGTAATGGAACATAGCCCTGTGGTAGCAGGAGTGCCCAGACTGGGATACTCATGACTGGGGGCGGGGGGTGAGCTCCCAGGTGAGCTCCCCTCACCCCCAGGAGCTAAGAGCAAACCAGAAGGGAACCTGTTGGGACACTTCAATGCAAAGGCCTGTGCATGTGGAACCTTCAGAGGAAGGGGCTTACTTTCATCACCAAGTGTCCCAGGCAGACTCTCGGGCACAGACATGAGTCTCAGCAGCATCACACTCAGGGACAGCTGGGTAATTTGCAGACTTGGTACAAAATGCAATTGCAGAGCCTGCACCAGAGCGGGAAGGTCAGTCCCCTGCCCACAGGCCTATGGCCTCCACCATGAACAAGGGATGCTGCCCTTGCACAGGGTGTGTTTGGCACCTAGATTGGCACTCCTGCAGCCCCAGGAGGGAACAGCTGCAGCTCACCTGTCCCACCCCAAGAGGCCAGGGGCCAGTCTGCTGGCCCCCAATTCTCCTCGAGGCTATGTTCAGACTTCTGGATGGCAGGGGTGCCATGAGGTGGGACTGGGCAGCAAGAGCCCTCCTGGGGAGACAGTGGGAGGTTGTGCTCCCCAGGAGCTCAGGTGCAAAAGAGGGGTGCATGTGGGAGCCACTGCATAGTTCTGTTGAGTGGGAGCTCAAGGCCCAGTGCACAACCTGCTTCCCAACAGACTTCTCTCACCAAACACAGACTGAGAGCTGAAACTAGTAATAGGCTCCAGATGGAGACCCAGAGCACAGACGCGGGCACAGTGCCCTTCTGAGGCTGGCCTGGGCACTGGCCCACTCCCACGCCAGCCCTGGTCACTGAGGCTGCTGAACAGACAACAGATGGGATGGGTAGGGCTGGGGGCGTTGAGGTGGAGGACCCCCCCCCAAGTCGAGGGGAGCCTGAGAGAGGTTGCCTTTGAGAGCCTCTCTGGGGCCTGGCCGAGTGCTCAGGCTGAGAGCGCCAGCCCCTGGGGAAGGCCTTGCTCATTTGCTCTCAGAGTCCCTGCTGGTATCAGGGCCTATGAGCACTTACACAATCTCTGAGGATGCTTGAAACCTGACAGGGAAGTGAGCGTCTCCAGGCCACAGAGAGAGAATTTCAACATCAGAGTTTGTGCCTGCCTGGTTCAGGGTCCGCCGCCCCTCCCAGCGTATCAGCTGGGAAACTCCGCTCACATCGCCATCTGGGGAGTCAGATCAAATCACATGAGTGCCACATTCTCAAGATGTGCTTATGGGCACCCACTAAGCACTGAGTGAGGATGAGGGTCTGGGAGGCCAGGGGTAGCCAAAACAGCGAATGTTCATAAACAGCAGCAAATAACTTGTTCTCATCCAATGCAAATGTACACAAATCCTTTTCAAAATATTCATGGCAAAAAGGTTCAATGCCGTGTGGGCTGTTTTGACATGTTTACTCTGGTGTGTAGGGAAGCTTCCCAAAGGTCAAAGGGCAGGGCCTGCAGCTCAGCCTTGCAAAGGAAGGACTGTCAAGGTGGACCCAGCTCCGGAAAAGACCCTGCTCTGCCTGGCTCCTTGTTTTCTACCCACAGGGAAGACACCACACAGGTCCCCATGGCGCCTGCTCATTTAAGCACTTGGAGACTGGGAAGATTTGGTGAGTCAGGCCTGGCAGGCTAACAGCAAATAAAGGTCAAGATAAGGCCGAGTGTGGGGTAGAATAAGTTCAAATGTGCGTAGAATTCCTGCTTCTGGGGAGAGAAAGCAAGGCTTGACTTCCTGGGCAGCCCCTCCCCGGGGCCATCTGTCCCCTCTCATCTCAGCCAGCCCAGCCCTGCCCAGACAGGCCCTAACACTGAAAGTCCCGCTCCACGCTGCAGTCCAGATTCCTGAACTCGGTGACGGGGACAGCTGCTGTCAGCACTCAGGCTCCCAACAAATGAGGATATGTGTCCCCATCCGCAGTGGCATGGTTACTAGAGTTCAGAACTGGGGTGAACTGAGGCCAGTCCCGAGCCCTACAGCTGGGAGGAGACAGGTCAGATGCTGTGGGGCCAGAACCACATGTGGCTGCTCATGACCGTGACCCTTCACCTGCCTCCTCCTCGTCCTACTTGCCAGCTTCCAGGGACTTCCATTGCTGTCCAAGTCAGCAGCTGGAGGAAAATCCAGGCTTTCCAGCTTCCCTTTCAAAGATCCCCACTATCAACTCAATCCCAGGCTTCCTGAAATAATGGTTCATAATAATGAAATAACCATTTGACACTTGTGCGGCATTTTAAGCTCCATTATGCATTGCCACATAGGCTTGGGAGACTGAGGATCGGAAAGCTGAGGGGACCTGCTAGCACAGCCCTGGCAGGAGGAGTCAGACACCCCAGCTCAGGGCCTGTGTGCTTGCACTGTCCCCACTTTGTGGTTTACCCAAGTCAGAGTGTCCCCAACACCCCCACCTCCACATCCTTACCCCTCAGACTCTGAGTGGCCTCAGCATCCTCATCTGGGTGCACATTGGCTCGTTTTTCCTGGAGGGAATCTTTCCTCATCCCCCCTCTGGTTCCTTCCAGTGTTTGGGAAATGTCTCCTTTGTAGCCAGTGGGAACTAGACGCAGGGCCTGTAAGTAACCAGATGGGGTCCCTGTCCCCAAGAAGCTCAAAAACTATGCCCAAGCAAGAAGGCGGACTCCTGGACTGCACAGAAACCCAGGGAGCTGTGGCAGCCCAGGGGATGCCCCTCACCTCATCTCAGGGGGACCTTGGCCCAGGCTCACAAGATAAGTGGGGATTAGCCTCCTCGCGGAAGGGAAAGGTGCAAGGAACCAGCACCGACAAGGCCAGCGTGAGGTGGCTGGAACTTTGGGGCGGGACTGGAGTCAGCAGAGAGGAGGCCCCTGAGGAGATGAGGCTGCACAGACGCGGAGGGAGTGGGCGCCCGGAATGGCAGAGCGGAGGCTTCACTGACAGGACAGTGGGAACCAA